ATGAAAAACTTTTTCAAAAATCTCCCGATTATTCCCTTCTACGTGTGTTTGGTTGTGCATGTTTTTCAAATATTTCTGCCAGTTCCTCCAATAAACTTTCTCCCCGATCCATTCAATGTGTTTTTCTAGGATATGCATCTGGTTATAAAGGTTATCGTTGTCTTGATCCTAAAACCGGAAAAGTATACATAAGTCGGCATGTGCGCTTTTGTGAAAATATTTTTCCGTACACCACTTTGACCTCTACTATGCATAACATGCCTTCGTCCTCCCAAAACCCAAAACCCAGCTCCTTACCCATCACTGCCAGCCTACCATCCCCTGCTACAATCCCGACCTCGGTCCGGCCGACCCCGACCTCGTTCCAGCCCGCACCGACCTCGGTCCGGCCGACCCCAACCTCGTTCCAGCCCATACCGACCTCGGTCCCGCCGACACCGACCTCGGTCTGGCCGACCCCGACCTCGGTCCAGCCCACACCGACCTCGTTTCAGCCCACACCGACCTCGGTCCCGCCGACACAGACCTCAGTCCAGCCCATACCGACCTCGGTCCAGCGCACACCGACCTCGTTCACTTCTCCTGCCAGCCCAATTCCTTTCTCCCTCCCCAGCCCGTTCAGCTTCTCCACTTCTGACCACCTCACTACACCAGACAGAAGCCAGCTCGAGCTCTCCTCGGCTGAGTCCAGCACACCGACCAGCCTTGTATTTGACCCCACTCCATCTCAGCCGAACAGCCCACCTATCACCCCATCTACAAACCCAGTGACCAACCCAGGACCCGAGCCCGAACAGCAGCCCCCTTCCCCTCTTAATGTCCACCCGATGCAAACTCGGGCGAAATTTGGAATTTTTAAACCCAAAACTATTTTTAATTTAAACACGGTTGTTCTTTCAGCGGATCCTACTTGTTTTTCTGAGGCAAATAAATACTTGATATGGCGTAAGGCTATGGCTGAGGAATTTAATGCACTTATTGCTAACAACACTTGGGATTTGGTACCTTTTGATAACTCTAAAAATATTGTTGGCTCTAAGTGGATTTATAAGACAAAATTTCTTTCAGATGGGTCTATTGAGCGCCACAAGGCACAGTTAGTTGCTCAGGGGTTTAATCAGCAGGCTGGTGTAGATTTTTCTGAAACGTTTAGTCCTGTTATTAAACCCGCCACTGTTCGTACTGTTCTCACTTTAGCTATTTCATTCGGGTGGGTTATGCGTCAGCTTGATGTTAAAAATGCTTTCCTTCATGGTTATCTCACTGAAGAAGTTTATATGCGTCACCCACGGGGTTTTATTCATCCTCAGTATCCTCATCATTTATGTCGTCTGTGCAAGGCTATTTATGGTCTTAAGCAAGCCCCGCGGGCATGGTTTCATAGGTTCAGTAGTTTCCTACTTTCTCATAATTTTTTATGTAGTAAGTCGGATAACTCTCTATTCATTTACCGCCAGGGCACTTCGATTATTTATTTGTTACTATATGTGGACGACATTATTATTACTGGCAATTCCTCGTCTGTTGTCACTCAGCTCATTCATCTTATTGCTCATCATTTTTCCATGAAAGACTTGGGTGATCTTCATTATTTTCTTGGCATTCAGGCCATTCGTAATCCTAAAGGTTTGTTTCTATCCCAGTATAAATATATCTCCGACCTTTTATCTCGTTTTCATTTACACACTGTCAAGTCAGTTCGCACTCCCCTTGCGTCTCGTACTTCCTTATCTCTCACTGATGGCGAGCTCCTTGCAGATGCGACTGAGTATCGCAGTATGGTAGGTGCATTACAGTATTTAACTTTGACAAGACCTGATATTACTTATGCTGTGCATTTGGTTTCTCAATTTATGCATGCCCCACGTACCACTCATCTTTTTGTTGTCAACAGGATTTTTAGATATTTGCAGGGTACCATTGATCATGGTCTATGGCTTCAACCTACACCTAAGGCGACCTGCATTGTGGCATATTCAGACGCTGATTGGGCCGGATGTCCCGATACCTCTCGATCCACCACCGGCTACGCAGTATTTCTTGGGCCAAATCTTGTATCTTGGAAGTCAAAGAAACAACCTACTGTTTCCAAATCCTCTACAGAAGCAAAGTATCGAGCCATCGCCTACACAATATAGGACACAATACACATTCGATCCATTCTATTCGAGCTTGGTTTTCCAGTCACAGCACCGGTACGTTTGTTTTGTGACTACATCTCTGCTTCCTACTTGACAGCCAATCCTGTTCAGCATGCTCGGAGTAAGCATATCCAGATAGATTATCACTTTGTTCGTGAACGTGTGGCTCATGGTGATCTTGTTGTTAAATATGTTCCTACCAGTCTTCAGTTAGCAAATATATTTACTAAAAGTCTCTCTAGTCAGCAATTTCATTTTTTAAAAGACAACCTGCGCGTTGTATCTCCCGCACAATTTGAGGGGGTGTAATAGCCTAATATTAAATTAGGAATCCTTTGTATCTTTGGAAACTTTTATTAGTATAAATATATCTGCCAGGTACCCTATTGGGTAACCTTTCCCATTATTTCACAAATACCTCCCTAATGCCCATAAGTTCAGCCACCAGAGGGGAACACGCTCCTTCACCCTTAACGGCACCACCTGCCACAAAACCCCCTGAATCATCCCGAATAACCCACCCCAACCCGTGCAAGTGACCAACAATGGAGGCATCAACATTTGCTTTCAACCAATTGACCTGTGCTTTGAACTGAGCTCCAGGAAGACACAAAGCTCCATGCTCTGGCAATAATCTGTCCGGGTTGCAAGCTGTCTCCCTGCCACAAGCGCCTATTTCTCTCAGCCCATAACCCCCAGCAGCCCCACGCTACCTTACTCAGATCATCTCCAGCCTTCTTTAGGAAGACCCACTGGAACCAATCTAAAAAGCTCCAATTTCTTGGATTTGGAAAAACCCATCCAATAGAAGACCAAGCCTCCTTAGCAACCTGACAGTCCACAAACAGATGCTTCTCAGATTCAATAGCATCCCCACATAATCCACACTTCACTTCACATCCCACTCTCCGCTGCCGCAGATTTTCCGTTGTAGGTAATTTCCCGCTACACAATTGCCAAAACATAACCTTAATCTTCGGCGGCAACTTCCACTTCCAGACCGCCGACCAGCCTTTCCATCCATCCAGCTGCTGCTCGCCTACAAGTCGGCGATAACAACTCCTCATCGAGAATCGACCGTGCTGCTCCCATTTCCAGAAAAGTCGATCAGGCACCATCCTCCTGCTCAAAGGGATACTTCTAATTAAACATCTATCTCTTTGATTGAAAAGGTCATTTAAAATATCAACATCCCATTTCCTATCCGGAAGAGTTAAATGCCCTGCTACTTTAATATCCTCGAGGCCCTCAAAAGTATCTGAAGTGACTTTGGAATTTTCATCAGCAGGCAACCAAGAATCTGTCCAAACATTAACTGTCTTTCCATCCCCAATTCTCCAGCAATGACCTTCCCGGATTACCTGCTGAGCCTCATAAACACTCCACCAAATAAACGAAGGATTATTGCCTAATTTTGCTGTGATAAACGACTTCTTAGGATAATATGGAGCCTTGAAAATTTTCACTACAAGAAAATCCGGTTCTGAAAATAATTTCCAGCCCTGCTTGGCTAACATAGCAATATTAAATTTCCTCACCCTACGAAACCCCATACCACCAAATTTTTTGGGTTTGCAAAGAAATTCCCAATCCCGCCATCGGATTCCTCTACCAGATAACTGTTAGCTTTTAATGACCGGAAAGATCATAAAAGGAAAATGTGATAGTTGTCTGTTTGATTTTTTTTTTTTGGTATACAAGCTGTTAGAACTAATTAATGCTAAAAGTAACAGACTTTTCTTAGATGTTACTTCCCGTACCATTTCAGAAAAGATCTTTTATTTTTTGAAAAACTTTTAAAAATTGTCACGCCAAATATACAACTAGAAGTTTTAAAAAACTTTTTAAATAATACAAAAACTAGAAACTAGAAAGTAGATATGCTTGTCAAACATGCACCTACATTCAGCGACATCTACATATATACAAATTATGGTAAAAAAGACTCCTACGTAGTACTAAACTAACACTAATTACTATGTCTATCTTTATTATACGGTATATGGAAACCAATACTATAAAATATAATTACAAATATATTCTCAAATTAAATTATTAAAAATTTATACATTATTTCCTAGCATATGCTAGTAATAATTGAATTAATTACACTCATATAATAATGATTAATGATATGGCATGCTTAGTGGCTCACTGTATAATGTATGTTCCTGATTCCTCATAAAAAACTTTATCCTGGCACTTTTAACTAATAACGAGTATATTGCACTGTATAATTTTTACATTGTACTTCTAATTCACCTTGAGAGGAAATTTCAATTTATTTATCAAAATACTCTCACATTTTTTTAAATCAAATTTCAAAATGTGCAAAATCCAAAATTTATATATAGGACAACTCTAAAGGTGATTTTTATCACAACCTTACACGCATATATATATATATATAGGAAAATTCTTGTCCGGCATTTCCTGACCGGACCCCGTCCGGCCTCAGCCGTTTGGGGCAGTTCCCGGTGATATTTTTTTGCTCAAATTGTTTGTGTATATTCCTCATCAAGTCTAGTTCATTCATACCAAATTTCAGCCAAAAATTCAATCGGGAAGGTCGTCAAATGATTTTTGCAAGTTAACTGGTCCGGAATATGTATTTTCCGGACCAGTTAACTTGCAAAAATGATTTGACGACCTTCCTGATTGAATTCGTTACTCAAATTTGGTATGCATGAACTAGACTTGATGAAGAACATACACAAAAAAATTGAGCAAAAAATACCACCGGGAAGGCCCCAAAAAGAGGAGGCCGGACGGTGCTCTGGTCAGGAAATTCCTGACCGGAAGATTACTCTATATATATAGGTTAATTATTATTTTTTATGATTTTATTGGAACATTTTAGAAAATTTGAATGTTTTTATATATCTAAGGTTCCTTTTGAGATTTACATGCTTTATGCTGGCTGGGTAAGAAAATAAAAATAAAAACCTAAAAAAAGCAAAATGATGCCTACGTGTCATAAGGAGATTTGTCACCGAGGTCCAAGGGACATGGTGATGTCAGTAGGGACCCCAATCTTGGTAGCCCAAGTCAAAGAGTCCAAATACATCTGAGAAACCCGAACCGCAACCTGACCCATTTCCGGCCTCGCATTCGGGTTATCGTCCAGGCATTCCAGCGCCAAACGCACCAATTTCTCCGCCACATCCACCGGGTAAGAATCCCTCAACCGCCGGTCAACCCACCCCCTGATCCGCCCGCCGCCGAACGCCGTTCTCGCCGTCTCGATCACGGAAATCCTCTCGTAGCCTCCCGTCTCCTCGTCCACAATGTAGGTCAACGCCTCCTTCCCCGACACCAGCTCCAGCACCACCACGCCGAACGCGTACACGTCCGATCTCTGCGACACGGCCCCGCTCGACTGAAATTCCGGCGCCATGTATCCTCTGGTACCTTCGAACTTTATCTCTTTACTGCTTGATTCGATCTCCAGGTCGGATTCCGCTTTCCTTTTCGCGATCTCCCCGCAAAGCTCCGCCGTTCCGAAATGGCAGATTCTCGCGTTCAGAGCAGGCTCTGTGATTAAGATGCTCGAGCTCTTGATGTGATTGTGGATGAATTCGAAGCCTACACCGGTAGAATTATGGATGTAATCCAGGCCGGAGGCGATATCAGAAGCAATCTGAATTCTCAGCGTCCAATTCGAGAGAATCGTGAAATTAGGGTTCCTAGGGTTTCTCAGAGCATCGCGAAGATTCGCTCCATGGACATACTCATACACCAAGTAGATATAATTCCCGAATACTGTGACCCCCTTGAGCGGAATCAAGCTCGAGTGGTGACTTCTGCATATCATCGCCACCCGTTCGATCAGCTCCGGCGTATCAATCAGTCGGCGGAACTTCCTCTGGATAACAACGACGTCTTGGCCGCGCAACCCGCAGCGCCAGGCGGTGGAGGTGGAGGAGGAGGACGAACTCGGCTGTGTGAAATTTTTCGTGGCGGAGCGGATTTCAGAGAAGTCATAGATTCGCGGCTGCTCCGGCAGAGCCTCTCGGAGACTTGCGAGGGAATTCGCGCCGCTAGATTTCGAAGACTTCCACGACTGCGATTCCTTGTAATTACCGATATAAAAGCTGGAGGTGGAAGCGGAAGAGCTCATGAGTTGGCCACTCGTGGATAACGAAGGGTCGGCCGGAGGCGGTTTGCCGGCGGGTGAACGCGGGGATCGAGCCATCGAAGGGTGCTTTGGCTTCGGCGAAGGGTTGATTACTGCTCCGGTTAGCAATTTCTTTGACTTGCACATAGTTTAAGTTGCCTTCTTCTCCTTACTTCTCACCACTAGGTGCTTCGTTGCTGAATCCTCCATGCATATGATCGGAGTATTGAAACCCAAACTTTTCTATTTCTGGGAAGGATTTTTCGGTTTTCTTCTTTGCCCAGAAACAGAAAATCAGGACCGGAGGTTGTCGGAGTTGAAACGGAATGTGGTCGTCGGTTGCGTATACACAGGAGAGGGTTTGCTGTAGACTATTAGGTTGGACGGAGTCATTGTTTTTCGTTTCGTCATCCCACGTGGACAGGCTCACATGTTACCTGTCGTAAACATAACTTTTGGAGAGTTACTGACTTACTGCTTGGGCGGTCGTCTTTTACCCTATGATCACGGTAATGATAAATACCTTGCCACATGTATGTGGCAAAAACATGTTACTTTTTTAAATAGATCTATAAGTGCAATTATGATATACTCCGTAGATGTGTTGGATCATGCAAAATACTAGTAACATTTATTGTGTAACCATAGATTATTATTTGGTGGATTTGACTTTGCATTCCATTTTTGATGTAATAATGGACTTTGCACGCGTTTTAAAATCAATAATGTGTGCACTCATCATTCCGAAAATTGTGAATGCATAAATACAAAGCGAATGATTTCATGTTCGGGAGTATGCAATAATAATTTTCAATAAAATTACGATTTTGAATGCGTAAATAGAGGGGATTTTTCTCAAGAATGACTATAATAACTCTTAGATTTTGTCAAATTTCTTCTTTGCTTCTTAGATTTTTAGTTTTCTTATTTCTCACAGTATTCAAAGTTGGCAATGTACAATAGGACGGGGTAATTATTCAATTCATGTTATTCATACATCGTACAATAATTGAAGTATACCGTGGTGGAGGTACATTAATGGCCTGTTTAGTTGGGGTTAACCTATGTTATTGCAGGTTTAATTTTTAGTTAACCTCGTTTGTTTGTATTTTTGCAACAACAACCTATGTTATGGGTTAACCTCAATTAACTCTTGAGAACCTAGAAAAACCTTAAATTGAAGAATCTCCGAATCAGGAGTTTTGGAGATTAAGTTCTCATTAACATAAAATGAGCTAGAGTACCTTCATCCAAACAACATTTATTACATTAACCTAGGTTTACCTTATTTATTTCCAAACACTATTTTACGCATGGATCTAGGTTCACTCAGGTTAACCTAGTTTTTATTAAAACTTAGATTTATTTAAGTTTACTCTATCCAAATAGAGCATAAGGATTAGTCATGGACCCGGGCCAGGCCCGGCCGGGCTTTTTTTGGGAAGGAAGAACCGGAACCGGCCCAGTTCATGTTTTTTTTTTAAATTTCTTTTGCTTTTCTAATTAACCCCCGACCCCCACCCCCACCCCCCCCAAAACACCCAGACCAACTCGGGAGAAACCAATATATCTGAATACCCCCCCCCCCCCCCCCCCCAAAAAAAAAAAAAAAAAAAAAAAAATAGGCCGGACCGGTTCCACTTTTAGGAGGCCCGAGCCCGGCCCGATTAATTCCGAGCTCGGGTGGCCCGGACCGGTCCTATAACCGGGTACCGGGTTGGCCTGGACCCAAACAGTACCGGTTCCGGGCGGCCCGACCCAAGTCCATGACTAATAAGAACACAACAATTATTTCACAATTGCTGCGAACAAATTTGTCAAACAACAATCATTTGTTGAGCTCGATTTACTCATCAATATTGTACGCCAGTCGTATATGAAGTGCAGGTCTTTCCGGCTTTGAAGAGTACAATATAGATAAGGTATCATTTGGTCTGACTTTACTGTAATTAATTAAATCTAACTGATTGAGCTAAATTGACGGAATCCTGAATTATGAAAAAGCAGAATACAATAAACTATGTATTACGTTTACGTATATAATTAATAAAATAAATTAAAATTTATATGAAAATATTTAAAATTGACTTTTACATAAGCATCTCAACTAAACATAATTGTTATGAACCCGCTTTTAAGGAATCCACACAAAAGTTTCTTAAAAAATTTCACATCCTTTATATTACTTCATTAAGCATCTCAAAACACTATTTTTTAAAATATTTTTCATTGAACATGGTATGAAATAAGTTTTGGTAAATTTATTAGTGAGATCTTACATTTTACTCATTAAGTTGTCACATTGAAAATGTAAAAAAATGAATCATTTTTACAAATTACTCATTTATTTCGTCACATTGAAAACGTCATTAATAAGGATATTTTTAATTAGATTGACATTTCCAGTTCTAATTCGGTCTGAAGTAATATAGTGTGGAAGATGTCTATTTTATGTATGTATATTAATATAATTATAATTATTGTGATTATTATTATTATATTATTATTATCATTGTTATGAATGATGTTTGATCTGATCTTGTCTGAGACTGAAATCGGCCCAATTAAAAAGATCCTAAATGTATGAAGATTTTCTAATTTGGATTAGGAATCTATTTTAAAAGTGAAGCAATATTTAAATTGTATTTTTTTATCGTATATTTAAATTGTAGTTGTAAAAATAAAGAAACAACTAAACATATTTACTTTTTTTTGCTAGACCAAACGTATTTACTTGTGAAAATATATACATTTATATGTATGATGTGATTTTTCATCCTAATAAAGGTAAGCTACTTGATCAGACGTTTTAAATGTTTTCATATATGAACGTCTAATAGTATATCAATTTCATTTTTAAGTTAAAAAATCTTGTGGTTATAATTTCTATCTCTATCTCAACAATTAAGAAAGAATGGCATGAAGATGCAGCAAAATATGAAGTAATAACACAATTGCAAAATTAAGGCTTATAATTTTAGTAATTATCGCATTGAGTTTAGAAAACATTCGTAAAAAAAAGTTTGAGTCTAAAACAATAACTATGATTACTTTTTTTTTTATAAAATAACTTTGAAGAACAAAATTAATAGGAATTTGGATGATTTATCTGTTAGGTGGGCAAAACACGGATAATTCATTTTTCAATAGAATGTAATAAAAGGTATAAAAAATAATTAAATAATTGATATAAAACATAGTCTATCTGTACGGATGATTGTTTATTGTTGTGGTTTCAATTGCTTAATTTAATAACTATCCAAAAAGTTACCAAATAAGGTGGATTCCATCCTACAATCTTTTGTTTCCATATTAATATACAATAAAAATAGAATGTAATAATAAATAGAAGGTAAAAAAAATAATTAAATAATTATTATATATGATGACATGACAGGATTATGAGGCACACTGTATGCTCTTAAAAAGTTTTTCTTTTATATATATATATATATATATATATATATATATATATATATATATATATATATATATATATATATATATATATATATATATATATATATGTATTCACTCTTTCCTGTAATTTAGCATTATCAATATATTCACTCAGCAAAGTTTTATTATTTAAACCTTACCTTTATTATTTATACATCAATTTTTTTACCATTATTTTTGTGAATATATGATTTAAAAAGTTAAACATTCCGATATAAAAAATACATAAATTTGGAGTTTAATTTTGTTGTTATTTCAGAGCTATTTTTGAACAAAAATTGCTGATAGATCTAAAAATAATACGGAGTATTATAACAATGAGATCTTAATATTAGCACTTGAACTTATTTAAGAAAAAAATCAAGTCTGAAAACATCTAGCAGTTAAAGTTTCATTTTTTAACAAAAATTTGATATACTCCCTCTGACGAGCACTTTGTCACGGTGCGTCAAAATAAATTAAATACTAAAACTTATATGTAGTATAGCGTAGTAGAGTTCGTATCCACATGGAAAGGAATAATTCTCTTTTTATAAAACTAGTAAATAAAAGGGGGGTTTAGGATTGAATGGTTTAATTTAATTAAACACAAAGATGAACAACTTATATGTGATTTAATTCAAAGATAAAAAGGACTTGGCATTGCTACTTTCCACTTGTTGATATATTTTAGTCGATCATTGTTATATTTATAACTTATCCCCTCTCGAATACTCAATCGAGGAGTATATCCAATTCATCGAGAGTAGTTATTAATAACGACCGTTCATTAATAACCCTTACTATTAGTCAAATATAGAACACCGCCATATAGCGACTTAATAGTAGCATAACGGTTTCGGTTTAACCAACAAAATTAATCCCTATTAAATTTATTAACCACGACCGTGCATTAATAAACCGAAGTTACTTACTTGTGAAACCATCAACGATTAACCATCGGTTCGTTGATCGTTTCTAGTAGTAATTAATGTCGAGATGTTAACTAATTGTCATCTTAGCAACACTCCCCAACATTAATATAAAGATAGATTAAGGGAAGAATTAATATTCAAGGAAGAAAATTAAATATGAATAATCCTACTATAACTAATGTCAAGATGTTATCTATTTGTCATCTTAGCAACACTCTCCAACATTAATATATAGAGGAAGAAAATAAATACTACTATAACTAATGTCGAGATGTTAACTAATTTTCATCTTAGCAACACTCCCCAACATTAATATATAGATAGATTAAGAGAATAATTAATGTTCAAGGGAAGAAGTTAAGAAAATAACTCACAACTTTAATAATCAACAAGCTTCAAGAGCAACACCAAGAAATGGAAGTTTAGCTCCTTAAATACTATTCTAAACTGAGCTTAAGAGCATGAAAGATGGGATGGAAAATAGTGAAGGAAAAATGTGCTATTTATATGTGTTTTTCAACACCTTGGGCCGGGTACCCGACCGGGTCAAGTGCCCACCCGACCGGGTGCATGTCAAGATCAGATAATCTTCCATGTTCTTGTGTTTCAGCACGTTAAAATGTCCCGGGTCAAATCCGACCCGACCGGGTGAATTAGGGGTGGGTTCGGTTCTTGCGGTTCGGTTTTGACCTAAAACCAAATGTAGAATCAAAGTAAAAAGTTCGGTTCGGTTTCGGTTCGGTTTTACACTCCAAAACTTGGAACCACGGTTTGATTAGTTCGGTTTGTTTCGGTTCGGTTTTGGTTTTTCGGTTTTTTTACCAAAAGTTTTTCACTTGATTTGAAATTGATATAATACTTAGAGGGATCAAACATATTACATAAATAATTCAAGCACAATACAACGACAATTAAAATAAAAATGAGAAGAGATAAATATGTCTTGAATTATATGAGTATGCGAGCTAGATAAAACTGTATATATTATTGATTTAATTTGTTTGTGAGTAGTTTGAAATTTTTCATGAATATATGTGTTCTATGTGATATAGTTGAGATTAATATTTATTGTTTTATCAATATAAGATCTTTAAGTTATCTAAAAATAAAAGTTAATTACTACTAATAACTAGTAAACACATATGATCATCATTCAATATAGCTATTATTACAGACAATGAATGTGTAAATGAATTTATAAACTAAATTAAATTAAACATAACACAAACATTATTTCTCTAACACAAGAAAACCAAAACTATTGATGATATTAAGATTAATTAGAATTAATGCTTAACAATTAACATATAAATTTCATATTTTCAATAGTTCGGTTTGTTCGGTTCGGCTCGGTTTTGAAGGGTAAAAACCAAAACCGAACCGAACAACTTCGGTTCGATTCGGTTTTTTA